CCTTTCGATGACGACCTTAGCCATCGAATTGCCCCCCTGAGCACTTGGAAGAAGTCGCGAATCGACACGAGCGAGAGAGCACCACTATCACATTTTGCTTGATGCTGGTCCTTGTCAACTGTCAATCAAAAAGGGTGGGAACCGTTGACACGCCGCGAACACTATTTTTGACTTGATTCTTAAACCCCTTCGAGAAAAAGCACGACTTCGGATGAAAGCTGGAGCGCAATCGAGCTAGTCTACGACCGAATAACGCTCAAGATCGACACACTTTTCAACTTCGTCAGGCCTGGAGGAGGCAAACCTCGCTGGGATACACCCTAGAACTCCTTCGGTTTCATACCCACCCTCCGTGCTTGAGACCGTCTTAACGCCAGCTTGTTAATCCGCACATCCCTCCTTCCGCCCCTGACGAGGTTGATGTCTGGATATCTGTTTTTGTTTTCACGCCTGCTCGCGATGACGAGTTGCTGATGCGGCCTTCTCTTGCGCCGTCTGCGCCATGTTGCTTAGACCCTGGATGCTCGACCGCGCTTCGCAGCTACTTGGACGCAGTCATTGCGATCCAGAGCATCGACCAAGTCACGCAGGAAGACCACGTCGATTCCGGTGGCCCTCTGGCCCTTTCTCGACCTTACTCCGTTCTGCTAAGGTATCATGTCGAGAATGACGTGCGGTGTCAAGTCGCCTTTGCTCATGCTGGCCTATGTGCCTAACGCCTTGTCATCACAATTCGACCGAGATTGGCGGCATGCGGTTTGACGAAAGCCACCGGTGACGGCGCTTCCGCGGGATTTTCCGCGTCCGTTGTTGATGTTGACTGGTTCTGAGCAAACAAGCCATATGCTTGCTCACCTGTCACCGCCGTCCGTCATTTCGGAAGGCTGATGGCGACAAACTCTCCTCGACATCGCGCCCACAGCCGTTACAACGTCGACCGTGACCTATAGCAAAGCATCTGTCGTCGAGGATTGGCACGCATGGCCAGCTCACCAAGGCCATCAATCTGGCGACACCGCCAGTCTGTATTGGTCCTCCCGTGTTCCATCTGGCCACACCCCCTCCCTTTTTAGGTGACATTGCTGATTTCATCAAACAGATCAGTCATGTATCTCGGAGCTTTTCTGCAAATCTCGTCTCGCCGTCTGCTTAGATACGTCCCCCGCGCCCCCAGTTGCCTTTTGCCTCCCCGGCCACGCTGCTCCACGCCGGTGCTTGGGTGCATCACGGGTCATGCAGCATGCGTGCCGCTGCTTGAGCCTGTGTTCATTAAGCAAGAAATACAGCAGCATGTGTGATCACGCAGGATGGAGCGATGTATCTCTGGGGGTCATGTTCCCTTGAACCCCGGCCTGATGATCTCCGTCGCTTCTTGTCTGACTCTGCGACCCGGGCAGCCAATCAAGACACCCTTGCTATGCTTATCCACGATGCCTTCAAACGGCCAGCCATTCTCATTTACGTCTAGGCTGTGGTGGACCTTCAGCCATCGGTCATGAACCCTGAACCCTCAGAGAGACGCAGCTCAGCCGAGCATCCGCGCAACCGATGAAGGATTTCGGGCTCTGGCGGGACAAGACGTGAAAGAAGAGGGGCCAGCCGCCGCCCGGTCGCCGCCAGCCTCGACCGGATCACACTCGAGTTGCGCAAGCGAAAGCCACATCTGCGCATAGCTCCGAACTACGGCATGCCAGGAACGCGACGGTGCATCAACTGCACGTCAATTCTTCAAGGCCAACTTTGACCCGCCCGCAAAGCATATGTTTGACACGTGAGTGTAGAGCTACACAAAAATGATTTAGGTGTATGTACCCTCCCACGACGCAAAAAGGGCCGGCTCGTGTCATAATACGTTGACGTGACAACACGGACAATTCAAAGCTTCGTCTTGGGTAACGATGTTCTGTCAAATCCGCGTCAGGGGGGGAGTGAAGGAGAAAAGCTGCCTGGCGCAACGTGACGCGCGCGGAACGGTGCAGCTGTCAGTCGCAAAGACAAGCCTGAACGATATAGCAAATGGCGTCTGGCCATAATCGAATGTCGGTCGCCAGGAACGCCCACGAAGGCGCAACAGGAGATCAACTTACATGGCTTCGCTTTGCAAGAAAAGACGAAGCGACGAATAAGACGCCCAGTGTGCCTGAGCTCGGTTTCATAGCACGAGCGTTGATTTCTCGTCTCGATGCTCTGGACGACACCAAGGCACATACCTCATCCCGGAAGTGAGGACCAAGGTTCCAGACTAGCCGCTCCGTAGTCTCCGTCTCCGTCTCCGTCCGTGTCTACGTCGTTGTCAAGCTGCATGCATGACTTTGACTTTGGGGACGGGTGATCTCATTCCCGGAGGCCAAAAGTGGTCCCCGATGCTGTCTACTTACAGGAGTGTCCCCCGTCATCTTCTCGTCAGCACAGGCAGAGAGGTGCAGACATTGAAGGGATCACAGGGCGGGTATGGTTCTCTGGGAAGTGCCCCGCCACCGAAATTCAACGTCGTCCTCAGTTGGAGGCGGCGCTAGAGAGGGGGATCGAGGACGTGCGCAGAGGGGGCGAACAACGTTCGGTTTGATGGAAGAGAAGAGACGAAGGAGGCCTTAGCCAGCCTTACTAAGTCCTTACGGATGATCCTAAACGGTCTTCGTCCCGAAACCCAAAAAAAATCTTGAGCCTACCTTGCCTCACACCGTCCAGCTGAAGAACGAATTGCTGGCGTTCAAGGGCAAGCATCTTCTGCGTTTTCTCGGTGCAATATGGGAGTGTTCAAGCGTGCACCTGCCATCTCGTGGCCCTTACCCCAAGGAAGAATCCACTCAGCCCCCCCCTAGACATCTCACTCAGGTGCAGTCACACACACACACACACTGTCGAATTGCATCCACTTTCTCCCTGTCGGCACCGTGCCTAACTGTACGGAGATGCGACGTTTCGCTACCAGCCAGGGAAACACATTCTGTGCCCACACCCTCCTCATTCGCGGCCCCACACCTCCCCCCCGGTAGTCGACCGGAACCAATCCAGTGTCCCCGTCCCCCGCAGGTCCCCCGTCGACCAATCCGCACCAGACCCACTTCCGTCCGTCCGTCTTGAGATACGACTGGCTCTTCATCTCGAACGCCACAAAGCCACCGCCCTACGCCTCGCTCTACTAGGGACGCCAAAAAAGAGAGACAAGTGCACCTCATCAAGATTCCTGCCCTACCAGCTGCCCGGGGCGGAAACCAAGTACACGGCCCCAAGGAACGGCGCAAGGAGGCTTCGGAGCAAAGGTGCAAAAGAAGAAAGGCGACTGGCTCATCAGATCGATGCGCAATAGAGGCGCCAGGCCACCAGCGCAGCCTCGTCCCTCGTCGTGCCCGCGTTTCGGACTTGGATCCGAAGACAGCTTAGCCCCATCACCACTCGGGCCCTTTGGTCGCTGGCGAGCCTGCAGCCCTGGAGATGAGGGAAACAAAAGAGGCTCGCCCCATCGACGATGAAGATATCAAAGGACCAGGAGGCTTGCTTGCTAATAACGTGCCGGCACCGATCCAGGCATCTGATCAGCATCAGCAGCAGCGGTCGTCGTGTTCGTGTTGTAGACAATGCACATCAGAGAAAACCCCAAGCAGACATGACTGTCCCTTCTTTGCCCGCCCAACAAACGACTGCTGCTATCCCGGAAAAAAAGGGCCATGGCTCCGGAGTGCTACGGGATACGGACCACGGCCGGCCTCATCCCAAATTTTCCAGGGCGTCGTCGGGGAAGCTCATACCGACGTCGACATGGCCATCCCACCTCGTGCAAAGCATCCCAGACTGGACGGCCCGGATACCTGGGCTCTCCCATCGCGCTTCGCCGTCGTGCTGCAATCTCATCTCGAATGCGTGTCTCAGTTGAATCTGCTGTGCCACTCTCCGCCGGGGGAGCGTACTTACACGATGAGATGAATCAAAGCCTCCTTTCCTCGTGCCCCTCTCACCACGACGTTGTCCGGATGACATGTCCAAAGGAGGAACGATGCTCTTCCCAATGACAGAAATAGAGTCGTACGCATTGCCACCCAGAAAACCAATAGCAAGACCGCATCCGTCAGGCCCCCAGCGAAGCAGGCAGACAGGCAGGCTTGTCGTCGTGGTCGGTGCCGCCGCGCTGGGGCGGCGATGTGTATACCTCATACTCATGGTGACTCCTGGAGGACGGGAATAGAAAGCCACGATGTCTATGTGCCCACGGCAAGACCCAATAGCAGCACGAATCTGCTCCTTCCACTGCCTCTCATGATACAAGGGCACCCTCCCCTTCTCGGATCCATCATCGTCGTCCGTCCCGTAGCCAAGAATAGAGAGGATGACCACCCGTCCTTCTCGACGTTTCCACGAGTACAAGTGCTGTCGTCCAGAATCAGATCTATGTCCGCCTCACGATGGACCGAGATCCAACCTCGAAACATCAGACGGATGGTAGACTCCCCTGAGCACTCGGTCACGTCTAGGGGCACGAATATAGTTGTCCAAGAATACAGCGAGCAACACAATCAACATTTGGAGCATGCCCACGCCAGCATAGCACGGCGGGGAAAACATGGCGGATATCCCGCGGGCCAATCTCCAAAATCGGACCTATTCAAGATCCCATCATCCGTGTAGACACAACCTCACCCCGTTCCGCACCAGACGAGGAGCGATATTGCGAAGCATTATGGCAAGGCAGGTCACACCCCTCCCATTTGAACGGCTCACCATGGCAACAGGTCCAGGGAACCACCTCTCGGGGAACCAAGTAGACCAGGAGAAAAAACTTTGATGATATCGTTGTTCTTCATTCATTATCAAGCGTACCCGTAACCCGTGCTATACACTTCTACACCCGCGCCCCCTTTCTAGCCCCTGAATCCCCAGTCCAGAATGTCTAGTTTCCGTCCAACTCCCACGCAATGCTAAACCGAACAGGTAAAAAACAATAGACCCCTTTGCTCAATAGAGCCCCAACATGCCCGATCCCCATATAAAGCAATACACTCTCTTCACGCGCCGTTGGCCTTGTCCCTGCTGATGTACACGGGAATGCCGTACACGCACACTGCGCCGGCTGTTATGTACCTGAACCGACAGGCGTCCCTAGCCTTAGCAACGGCCTCGACGAGTGACGTCTCGCGGCCGTCCTCGCGCTCCGGGCTTTCTTCCTCCTCTCTCTTGCTGCTGCCCTTGCCCTTCTTATCGGCGAACAAGCCCTTGCCCTTGCCCTTGGCCGAAGGCTTGCTTTCATCAATAAACGTCCCCTTCTTCATCAGACCCCACTCCTCGAATAATCGGCCCGCATACCGGTCGATGTCCTTGTCCGTCACGTCCCAGAGGGTGCCCACGACGGCGGGACACCCTGCGAGCATGTAATTCCACACGGGACCGTGGCACTCGTACTCGCCGACGTTCTGGAGCGACGCCGAGCTACAGCCCATGAGTAGCGCTGCCGCCTTGCACTTCTCCAACCTCCTAATGGTCTTGCCGCGGATGTACTGCGCACCGCTGCCGTGGCCAAAGTAGAGGACAATGTCTGAGCTCTTGAGGGCGCCCTCGAACTCGTCCTCTGTCGGGCAACGCGAGACGATGCCCTTCCAGGAGTCGCCGAGGGTCTTCAGGGGCTTCTCAAAGGTGGCGAGGGTGTTCTTGAGGTCTGAACCCGGGTTGAGTATGTACGTGCCCCCAGTGGGTGACACTGTGTGGTGATCAACGCCGTGGGTGCCCTCAGTAGCCCTCTGCTCCGTGATCAATCGGCGAAGGCATGAGAGCGAGGGAACACGTGAGTATGCCAGTCCCTCCATGCACGGAAGGGACTCCCAAGGGAAGGCATGGAGCGCCTTGTCGAGGATCAGGATGCTGTGCGCTCCTTCCTCGGATTCCGAGGTCTTGGCCGCGGTGTGGTAGGTCTGTAGAGCATCGAGTGTATCCAGAACCATGGAGTCGAAATCGATTTCGTCGTAAGCGTTCCTCTCGCCTTGGAATTGGAGGATGTCTACGACGAAGTAGAGGAGGTCGTTAAGGGGCTCATCCATGTCATTATCTGGCGAGGTCGTCGATGGGTCTCCCAAGCCAACGAACAAGTCGAGAATGCGAGGCTCCAAGGCAACCTTGGGGGCCTTCGTGGTCTTCTTGCCACGTACCTGCCTTCGAGACGGCAGGTGCTTGTCCATAATCTTTGCAAAGGCCTTTTGGAACTTGGCAAGGAGCTCGGGACGATGGCGGTGCTGAGAGAAGATGCCCTTGAAGCCGCCGAGCCAGACCTGCTCGACATTGTCCAAAAGGTCTTTGAATCTGTTGTCGAGGTCCTCTCGCTGGGCCCACCAGGCCGCCTTGGCTCCCTTTCCAGTGTAGTCGCCCGCATTGTGGCAGCTGTCGTTGGTGGCCTTAATGATATCCATGAGCTCTTCATGACCACGCTGGAAGTCGAACAACTCCTCTTCGCCGTCTCTGGAGGCCACACGTTCCAATGGCAATCGGAGGACGAATGGGCTCTGGCCGGCTTGTAACTTCGTGATGCACAGATCCTTGCGGTTATCGCTAAGCGAGACAGAGAAGACGCTCCACGCCTCGGGAATGATGTCGACATAGTCACGCTGGAACCTCGTCATGTCGTCGGCAGTCATGATGCTTGCTCGCCTGTCGTCTTCAACTTGAAGGGCCAACGGCCAACCAGTTTCGCTGAAGCTGGGGTTGAGCTGCTCCGTGGCCACAGTGCTTCGCTCCCGTTTCCATGTCAAGTTTCGTGCAAACTCAACAGAGCAGGCAGCGTATCCAAAGTTGCCGATATTTTTAGGAACACCTTGGGATGCGGCCGACAAGAAGATGCCTGTGCTTTGAAGCAACGCTGAGATGCGATGAACCAGATGTCCGTTGCCAGAAATAGCAGCGGCCGCCTGAGCTTCCATCAGCTGTGCCTGGGCTTGCTCCAAAGTCTCCACAAAGGCGGCGTTTTCTTTGGATGCTTTGCGCTCCGCAGAAATAGCCCGGCTCTGAGGCTTCCGGGGAGAGGGACCGCCCGGTGATGTCTTTTCCGTGGTGTTCTTGTCGGATGCAGCGTGAATCGAGGGGTAGGAGATTGTGGACTCCTTGACCACGGAGAAGACGGAGTCGCCCTCCATCTGCTTGATGCCTTGCTCGATGAGACAGGTCGCTTCACTAATCTGGACACGGAGAGACTCCCGCAGACTTGTCGACATCTGCTTGGCTTCCTCAAGAAGTGTTGATGCGCCCGCCCAGTCGCCCTTGCTAAGGTGGACCAGTGCCTTGTACATCAACATGGATGCCTTCAAGTCAGACGTTTGACCATTATCCGCAACGACAACAGCCTTGGATGGCGCAGTCGTCTTCGCTTTCGGGGCTGTTGCGCGCTTCGTAGTTCTCGCCGCTGCAGTTGTCTTGGTCGTAGTCTTAGCGGCGGTCTTGGCCGTCCGTGTTCTTCGAGTGGCCGTTGTCGCCGTTGTCGCCGCAGCGCTCTTCAGCGTGAGGTTGGCCATCTTATGGACAACCTGCTCAGCGCTGACTCCGGTGATGGCACCCTGATTGCTGGTGTTCAAGGTTCCGAGGGTGACTTCTGCGAGCTCGAGGAGCAGCAGTTCGTTTTCATGGTCTTTCATCTCTCCGAAAGAGGCACTGAGCTCGCAGACGAGCTGGAAAGCCTGACGCGTGGGCTTAACAGCCGTGGCCATGAGCTGCCTCGCTTCGTTCAGATACCCCAGACTCTTGTCGAGTTTGCTTGCCTTGAGCCACACAGAACCGATCCAGCTCGCTGCCTGTGCTCTGTAGATGGAGGCGTTGGTTGAGTTGGCGACTTGGTGGGCCTTCTCTGCGTAGTAGACCGTCTCCTGGAACATACCCAGATGGGCGTAGACAGACGAAAGATGCAGCATAGCTGTCAGGAGACCGCAGGCGAGTGCCCAGCTATCCGGTCCATCGGACAAGTCGATTCGGGCAGGAGCATCGCCCTTGATGATGCTATCATCTGTGTCGGGAGAGCCTTCCCGCGACGCCTGTGCCGAGCTTGCTTTCGGTGCACTTTGCCATCTAGCTTCCAGCTTCGTCCAGTCCGAGTACAGAAGACGGACGCTGGTCTTGGCATGAAACAGCGCATGCTGGTATTCACCTTGGTCCCATTTGATGCGGGAAAACAGGCAAGCGGCTCTGGCAAGCAGGAGCTTTCTCTGTTGTCGGGAGCCTCTGCGACTCGAGGAGGACTTTTCAAAAGCGGCTTGGCCCTGGAGAAGCATCTTTTGACTATACCCTGTTAGAATCGCGTCAATACGATGAAGAATTGGGTAACTTACGCGGCAGCAGAGTTCTGCTTAGCCAGTTGATGCTCGGTAAAAGATACGAAAAGATTAACGGCCGCGAGGTCAGGATCACTGCTCGAGGACTGCACAAACTCCTGGGCTTTTTTGAGGATTTCCTCGGCCTTGTCAGAGTAGCCCAGGTGGGTATATTGATCTGCGAGATCGCTGTGTGACTGGACCAGCAAGTCTGTGGACGAATCGGATAGCTTTTGCGAGAGGTTGGCTGATAAGGTCAGAATCGACAGCAGGAACTCGTCCTCGCCGCGGAGCCTCGCGAAGTTGGCAATGGCACCGAGCTGTCTGAGAAGTCCCTCGGCGTCGTTGACTCTGGAGAGAACATCGTCCTTGGAGGAGCACTCGGTCACAATAGCACGCCAAGCGTTGATCGGGCACTCGAAATGGCTTGTGCGCCACTCGGAATGAGATTCTACGAGTGCTACCGTTGATGCCAGGGAGGCCTCAAGGTCCGCAACATAGGTTGCCAAACCACTGTCATCAGCAAGATCCTGCGAACGGCATGCTTGTAGGGCCGCCTCGGTTTGCTCTCGGAGATCTTGAAACTTGTTCTGGTCGCCAATGGCCATTGTGAGAAGCTGCGTCAAAGTACGGAGTCGGCGAATCGGGAAGCGATCGACGGAGTAAATCCTCAAGAGAGCCTCAGTGACCGGCTCCTTGATATCATCCGATTTCGTTTCGTTCGATGTGTCGGATAGAAGGAGTTGGATGATGCGCTCCAGGACCGCCGCCCGCTCAACATCTGCGAGGAAGAAGGTCCAGTCATTCCAAGACTGGTCGAGCTTGACCATGGCACCCAGCGTCCGTGACAAGGCCTCTGTCTTGTCGTTTGCGCCCCAGGCAACCGCGGGTGACTTTTCCGACAGGGAAGCGGCCACCGCGGACAGGACACCATCCTCGACCATGTTCGTGCAGATGAGCTTGAGGGCATCTCGAGCATCGTTAATGCGGCCCGCGTGCTTACAGAGCTCTGCAAAATATTCGAGCTTTGCTGTAGTCTGTGCCTTCTCCTTCTCTTCGGATGGCCTGTCCTTGACGCAATCAACGGATCGTCGGAGAGCCCGCAGAGGCGTCTTGTCGCCAGGCTTGCTTTCGTTGTTACGTCGATACCAGTGGAAAAACATGAAATACAGATGGGAAATCTTAGTGTACGCAGAATTGCCATCGTTGGTCTTTGAGCCGGTAGTACTAATGTCGCCCATAGAATCAAGCAACATGAGGCACTCCTGCAGAAGGCCGTCGAGAAGTTCCCAAGTCATCTTGTTCTTGTCAATGTGCGATTTCGCAACCATGAACGCCGAGTCCAAGATTTGGGGGACAGAGCTGAGAAGGATCTGTCGTCTCTGCTCGTGGCGCACACGGTCCTTGGCTGCTGAGTCTCTTGTCGGCGCTTTCCCGAGCCATCGAACAGAGAATCGGGGGAACTGGAGAATCAGCTTATTAAGCAGATCGACGATCTCTTCGGAAACCTCTTGCTTATTGCTTGATAATATTCCGACTGAAGACCTTCGAGCAGCCGACAGGTTGGTCATTAGTTCCTCAAGCTCTGTGAAATCGCCTTTGAGCATGCCCTGGAGTGCGTCGATGACCTCGGTCAGGGCCTTTGTAAGCTGCTGATCGGGGAGCGGCACTTGTTTGCCGTAAACAGCGACGAGCTGCGCCGAGTAAGCACAGCACTTCGCCGCTGAGTCGCTCTCCGGGTTCAAAGTTTGCTTGATCTTCAAGATCCAGTCGGCCGAGTCTTTGTAAAGCCGAGCAGCCTGAGCTGCGGTACCCAAAGCCTGGTAGATGATGGCGAGCGGCGATTTCGATGACAGAGTTGGCTCCAGATGTTGGCTGTCAACCATCTTCATGATGCGCTGGAAAACATCGAGAGATCGACGGTAGGATCCGGCGAGGTCTGACTGAGATCTACGAATAAACGAGGTGAGGCATCTCGACAACGGGGACATGATGTCCTTGTTGACGTCGGCCTTGTGGCCTGCCATGGGCCACCAGTGCAGGCGAGCCTCCAGTGCAATTGCTTGAAACTCCAACGCGGTGGCCGGAGAACAGCTCAACCGGGAGTCCTTCGCTGTGTCGTCGTCCTTGTTAGAGACGCTGGGAGCCAGGGAGGTAAGCAACTGCGAGAGCAAATCCAACTGCCGAGCCGCTTTCGTTTTCGCTTGGGCAGACTCTTTAGCGGATTCCAAAAGGAGATTCATGGGAGATGTCGGGCAGGCGGAGGTCAGGAACGGCTTAGCTGCTTCGATGATTGCTGCTTTCTTGCCCAAAGATATCAGGCGCAAAATGTGCATCTGTGTTGATATAACGACACCCAGAGTTGCGCCCGAAAATTTGGCATCACCAAAGTCCAACAGCTCTGCAGGTCCTTTGATTTTTGTGTCCGCGGCTGCTGCCTTGGTTGCCTTGGGCTTGGTCTTAGGTGAAGTCCCCAACGCATCGAGCCTTCGCTTCAGGATATTCAATTCCTTCAGCGCATGTTCCTGGAGCCCCAGGCCGACAAGCTTAGCAATGAAAGAAGACATGCCGTTCTCCAGCTGCAAATCAGGAAGCGGCACGGCTCCAGAAATGTGCAGCGCTCTCAGGCAGGCGAAGGAAGCCCTCAAACACTCGACCGTCGCGAGGCATGTCGTCGGTGGTGTAGACGTGGTCGTCGGCTTCGGCGCCGGCTTCACGGTAGTCATGGGCGAGGTCGATGTCCGATTTAGCGAACGCGGTTGCATGGGCGTCATCGGCAATGAGTTTGATCGTCTCAGATGTCGTCGGCTCGGGGTCTTCCTAAGGTCCTCGCCCGAGTTCTGTCGTCGGCATGGTGTCGGGGGTGTGGCCGCCGGTGCGGGCTTCGAAGCTTCGGTGAGCGACTTGAGCGCGACGTTGACGATGTGCGCCGCGAGTGCTGCCTTTTCCTTTGGGCTCAATTCTTCCTTCTTGTTGGCAGCGGTTCGTGCCGCTCCTGCGGTCTTGCCTCTTGTGGTTGTTGTCGACTTTGCATTTCGTGATGTTGTCTTCGTTGTTGCCGACGCTGTTTCGGTCTCAGTCGCAAGAAGTTCTTTGAGCAACACGGAGGTTGCTGATGTGCATGTCGCGGTTGATGTCGCCGCCGCCTTGACGGCTTCTGCTTTGCTTTGTAGGGAAGTCATCGAATCGTATACGTTTTGGTCCTAAGCATGTCGTCATGAAATCTCGAGCTTCATTCGTAAAGTACGACCAGGGGTAGGCCAAAAGAGCGAAATGCTGTTGTTCGAGAAGCAATTTGGATGTGTGACTTCATGGCAAATCCACAAAGGGTGCACTGCAGTTGTCAGTCTGGCAGATCTCGCTAAACAATGCCCCGGGGCGTTGTCTGGGGCAACCGCCATCCCGTTTGGTCCGTGCTGAGGAAGCTGCTAGTGCACGGACCACTTGGCCTTCAACTGCAGGTCCGGAACTTTTTTTACTTCCAACTTCCAAGACGAGACGGAAGCACACTGCGGGCATCGATCTTTCCTCTAACTCATCTTTCTGATTACCCCTCCGCCGACATGTCTCGAATTGCCACACAACGGCTGATTGCCGCGGCTCCATGCCTACGCAGCGCATCCATTGCGCATGCCGCCCCTCGAGCCGTCTACTTCCATGCGCGGCACTCGAGCTCCCTGCCGACGGTTGCGCAGTCCGACTTCTGGAAGGGCCTGATCCCGAAACCATTCCGTCGCGAACCGCAGCTCCCCGGCGACCCGTCGATCAAGCGGGTCAAGTCGAAGAAGAAGAAGGAATGGAACCCAGCAACCTTCTACATTGTCATATTTCTCTTGATCGGTTCCATGTCGATTAATATGCTGTCGAGCAAGCAGTCGTTCGAAGCTTTCTCACGCCAAGCTGACGTCCGTATCGGGGTCTTGAAAGAGGTCGTGGAGAAGATACAGCGTGGCGAGAAGGTTGACGTGGAAGAGGCACTTGGCACGGGCGACCCTCAGAAGGAGTTGGAGTGGGAAGAGAGTATGTGACCTGTCACGGAGAAGACTACACGAATGCTAACGAATTCGACCAGTGCTGAGAGAGATTGAACGTGAAGACGTGTCACGACAGAAGAAGCAGGAAAAGTCACGGCAGACGGAGAGCGTGAAGAGCAAGCCCGAAAAGGAAGCCAAATCGCATTCGACAGGGGTCTCTGAGGCTGCGAAGCCACCGGCACGAGGCATGTCGAGCTTCTTCTAGATTCATAACGGAGACGTTTTTGATTGTACATCTTGCGGCTTATGAAAGCATGTCTTTGAAGACACCATGATTCTCCCTGAAGGCTGCTACGCCTCCCGCGGGAGCGGAGGCACCGCTCGCCGAGAGCTTCTGAAGCTGGTCGACCAGTGCCGGAAGGACGGCGTCGGTGGATACTTCGGTCCGGACTCCAAGTGCCCCTGTCGGATCCGGGTCCGGGACCGCAGCGATATGCTCCTCTCCTCGGACGCCTCCCGTGTTGACGATTGCAATGGGCATGCCGCGATCAAGAGCCCGCTTGGCCAGCCGCCAAGCTGAGTACGTGGCTAGCGAAGTACCGAGGATCAGCAGCTTGCCAGCCCCGTCGATGGACTCCTCCGCCGCCGTCTTGACCTCATGGGGGATGCTTTCGCCAAACATGACGACCGCAGGCTTGAGGATGCCCGCAGAGCTGGAGGAGTGCCAGGCACCGTCATGGTCGACCTCGACGACGTGCCTAGTACCCTCGGGGGTGGAGGGTGGGTGCGCCAGGCAATGCGGACATGCAGGATATCGGAAGGTGGTGTAAGGAGCGCCGGGCAGGTCGACGTCTCCGTCAGGATTGGTCCGGATGCCCTTGGCCCTGCGTTCCGCGGGATTCTCTGTATCGAGAGCCCCGGAAGCCAAGGCTTCGGCGAGGAAGGTCGCCCAAGCCGGGTTGAGCCTCGCTAGCTCATCCTGGAAGGTGTCCCTGGGGTATTCGTTCCTGCAAGTAACACAGACAGTGGACCGCAGATAACCGTGTAACTCTAAAGTTGGAATGTCAGGATGAGCTTTTGAGTGGAACGAGTCGACATTCTGAGTGACGACACTGCGAATAAGACCGAGCTGGCCAAGATCACGGATGGCATAGTGGCCCTGATTCGGGGACGCCTTGTGGAGTGACGTCCATCCCAAGAAACTTCTTGCCCAGTACCTCTTGCGTGCTTCGTGATTTGAGAGAAACTCGTGGTAGTAGATGGGACGGTAAGTCTTGTTCACGCGGTAGGTGCCATTGACCCCTCTGTAGTCGGCGAGGCCGCTGGAGACGGAGAGGCCCGCCCCAGTCAAGACTACGGTCGACCTCGGCAGCCCCTGTGGCGGAGGAGCTGTGAAGAAGTTCTGGAGGGCCGCGACAGCGCCAGGGATGGAGTTTGCGTTACTTGGACGGACTGTGGGAGGAGCCAAGAGTTCCGTGTAGGGAATGCGCATAAGAGGTTTGCGCATCGGGGCGAGGCTTTGTGGTGGGGTGTTGCGTAAGGCTGCCGGAATGTGGGAGGGAAATGGATCGTGAGGTGGGATGGCGCCGGGCGACGTGGAGGCTAAGGCTGTGAGAGGAAGGAGAAGACCAGAAAGGGGTTGAATTAAAGGAAGAGAGGGTTGTGATGTGGACGTGATATGCCCGGGGGTGGGTTTAAGAATAGCAGCAAACAAGGGACGGGAGGAGAATTTCGAGGGCAGGTGTCAGACGCGTGTATTGGTAAACGGAAGCGTTGCGACGGGCTCATCTCATGTTGAGTCCAAGGGGCGATCTCATCTCTATCGTCGATTCGTCATGATTCGGGGGTCCCAGCCTCAAGGGGGCCCGCTGTCACCCCACACGATGACAAAGCTGGTGTGGCTTGCCCGAGGTCTCGCAGTGAAGACACCACCTGCAGTGTTGTGAAGGACACTGCACTGTGGTAGAGGCCTTGGCACGGACCATGCGAGGCGCCTTGCAGCAAATCAGAGAGATTCCGTTGCAATGGAGAGGCGAGAGGGTATTCATTGGCAACTTGGCACTGGTCACATTCGCAATTGGCAACTCAGAGCCAGGACAGCAACTATCTGCGACTCAAGGGGCTGTCTGTCACCTGCCTGTCCGATAGCATGCGTCCGGTTGTCACCTCATGTGCCTCTACAGTCGTCCGGCATCCTCTTTCGGCAGGCCGGAGGTGATGGCTTGAGGCTCCTGGAGGGTTGGTTCCGTCCGTCTGTTTGAGTTGCGTACGCTTCATCCGCTTTAACCAGAGTTGGTTCGCGCAGCTGGAGATCCCAATGGCTAATTGCAGCATCCCGCCGGGCTCCGTTGTCAATAGTGGGCGCTGCTGACGCATGTCGTCGCCAGTTGCCCAGGGCCACTGCAGGAGGTGCAGGGCCAGTTGTAAAAGAAAATTCAAGTTTTGGTTTGGAAGAAATTTGCACACACTTCCATTGGTGAGCTTGAGTCGTTACGTTGCCCAGTACTTTACTTTACTTTGTATGCGGCGGTAACGTGTACAACTGTAATTAGGGACAGGCATAGTAGCAAATCAATCAATCCAATTCAACTGGCCAGGGCCATGCCATGCTGCATCCACTCTATCATCGCCTTTCCCGTCTTGTGGTCTACCTACGGATACCGCTGCGATGTACACTACCTTACAGAGTACGGTTACAGACCCCATCCTCGTCAGGAACGGATGCCATCTTTAGCTTAGGTAGGTTAGCATCAGCGACCCATCCCATAGGTCCCATCCTGTCCTATCCTGTCCCGCCGAGCCGGCCCTGCCCTGCCTCTTTCTGCCCATTCATTGCCTGTGTTGTCGCCCTGCAACCCGCACTGCATCCACTTCTGCGCACTGCGACCGCGGCGAGGCCAAGCGACTGCAGCCCGAGAGAGTCGGGGACATCAGATCGAACACCCGCCGTGGCCGGACTGAACTGAACTGATCCGACCTTGACCTGCCCTGACTGCACCGTACCTCTTGCATGACTGTCAGTCAACGGCAGCAACATCAACGACAACTCTCAGCTTCAAACCCTGCCGTGTCACTTTCCTCCCACATCCTCTCGCTCTCTTCCGCTGCACAGCCTAGCCACAAGTCCACCGCCGAGGCCCAAGGCCTCTCCCGCAACCTTCTCCCTCGCCTTCGGCTTCCCTTCCCCCCTCCCCTCCGTACCTTGCCTTACGTTACCTACCTTACCCAGTACCTCTGGCTCCGTACACCACCATCCAAATCACTCCCACCACTCCCGTCGCCGCGCTCCCCATCTATTCGATCCGTACTGGGCTGCTTGTCATGTACGCGTCCCTTGCCTGCTGCCGCCGCTGCTTGCAATTAGCCATCCCATCATTCGTCCCCTCCCCCCATCCTATTCCTGGTACTCCCGGCCTCTAGCCTCGTGCCTTGTCACTTGTGCCTCGCGTACCCTTACCGTACCTTGCCGTACCGTACCTACATGTCTCCCCCGTCCAAGCGCCCGCCGACGGGTCTGCTCCGCCGCCTATCCGGGCTGAGTGTGAGTGTGACGTCCCGGTCTGAAGCTTCCACTGGCACCGGCACAGGGACGCGCAAAAGAAGCATGGGGATGGGCATTGGGATGGGAATGCGATCTGGGCCTGGACGCGCCGCAGGGCCGTCTGCCTCCGCCGTACACGCCCTCCTCCGTTCATCTTGCCTCGATTTTGTTACCGGTACCCCCTTTAGGCCACATCTCCCAAACCTGCGCCGCGTGCGCGTCTATCAAACATCCAGCCCGGCCGCCTCTCCCTGCGATCCTTACTTAACCCCCAACGCCGCCCGCCTCCGCTTGCGCTCAAGGTTACCGGCCACTACCAGTACTTCTTTCCCCATCCTCACACAGACCGCAATCATGTCTTCTACAACTACAACCACCACAACCACCACCGCACCTCCCACCACCGTCATGCAGACTCAGACACGACACAGCTCCGGCGGCCACTCCCACGGCCATGGCCACCACCACCACCATCACGGTCACGACAACGTCTACCTGACCTCAAGCAACAAGAACGATGCCGGCGTCCGCATCACCCGCATCGGCCTCTACTCCAACCTCGGCATGGCCATTGCAAAGGGCGCCGGCGGCTACGCCTTCGGCTCCCAGGCAATGGTCGCTGACGCCTGGCACAGTCTGACGGATCTGGCCTCTGACATCCTGACGCTGGCCACCGTCTCCTGGAGTCTGAAGCCCCCTACCGCTGGCTTCCCCACTGGTTTCGGCAAGATTGAGAGCTTGGGTTCTTTGGGAGTCTCCAGCATGCTTCTGGGCGGCGGCCTGTTCATGTGTTGGAGCAGCTTGCTGACTCTCCACGCCCACCTCTTCCTGGATCCCGCGGCGGCCGCTGAGGCCATCGCCCACGCTCACTCCCACGGCCACAGCCATCACCACGACCACTCTGGCCCCAGCCTGCACGCGGCCTGGTTGGCTCTCGGCACCGTGGCGATCAAGGAGTGGCTGTACCAAGCAAGTAGGTGTCACCCAAACCCCTGTTGAGTGAGCAAACATAAGCAACGTGTCTAACTAAGATTTTGCAGCAATGAAAGTCGCCGTCGAACGAAAGTCATCTGTCCTCGCCTCCAACGCCGTTCACCACCGTGTCGACAGCTGGACTGGAATTGTTACACTGCTTGCTATTCTCGGCGCAAACTTTTTCAGGGATGCTGCCTGGTTGGACCCTGTCGGTGGCCTCATGATTTCTCTCCTGGTCATCAAGGCTGGCGCGGAGAATACCCTGTCCGCTCTGTACGAACTGGCCGACCGTAGCATCGATGACGAGGTCAAGGAATCGGTCGAGAAGCACACACTTAGGAGCCTATCTGATGTCACCGAGGGCCACGAGGTCGAAGTCAGGGACATTTCTGGTGTCAAGTCCGGCCAGAACTACCTCGTCGACATTGAATTGGCTGTTCCGGGAGCCTGGACGGTCGAGCACGTCCGCGCCGTCGAGGAGACCGTCCGCACCCAAGTCGGCTCTAGCGTGCGTGGAGTTCGGAGGATCAAGGTCCGCTACGTCCCGAAGGAGGCTGAGATCGCGCCCAAGTTTGACGAGTTCATTCCCGGCGAGGCCAACATGGACAAGCCCGAGGAGGAGACCACCGAGGCCAACGGCAACGGTCACCACAAGCACCACTAAGCGGCCGACGTCCCTAGTTGTACATTCGGGAGGATGAGCTTGCCATTCACGATGAGATACCCTTGGTTCCCTTACACTATCCGGA